AGGCAGGATTAGATGGAGGAACAAGTGGAAAGAGAGGAACTCTGGGAAATAGTCAGGCATTGGGACTTTCTCCACCTGGACTCAGGGAAAGTCAAAAGTATGAAACTGAGAAGAGGTTGGCCTAGGTATTTATCGATAAGTGAATAGCCTCCGAGTCATGATTCAGGAACTGAGGCATGGGTGGGAAAACCCATAGTTACACTTTCTAGTTCCTCATCCTTTATAATAAACTGAGAGGAATGTTAGCAACCAGGGCTCTCCTCTGGCCTGTCCTCATCTACCTAACCACAGCAGAATATGCAAGTCATCACTAGCTGTCAAGATACAATTAGCTTCCCTGTCTGAAGCATGGCTGGCAGATTATTTTCCCATCCTGTAAGCTGTCAGTTCAGTCTGCTGCTGGCTTTTGTTATAGTGCAGAAACTTAAAGTTCATATAGCCCAATTTACTAATTCTTGGTACTTCTGCTACTGAAGTCCAGATCAGAAATTTTCTGCCTATCTCTGTATCGTGAAGTGTGTTTCCTATGTTTTTCGCCAGAGGTTTTGTCATTTCAGGTTTTAAATTAAAGTCTTTGGCTCACTTTGATTTTCACATCACATTACAAAGTAAAAGATACAAACCTGATGGCATTTTTTTTCTGAAGGAGTAAGCACTTTGCTATTATTTCCATTGTCGAATTCTGTCTTCTGTCCATCCTCCCAAGTGTATGCTTTAACAACTTTGTGAAAACTCAGATGTAGGATCATTCCTGGGTCCTCTGTTGTGTTTCACTGATTGACATTTCTGTCGTGCCAGTACCATATTCTCTTTATCGCAAAAGCGTTGTGATGCAATTTGGTGTTAGATATTATATTAGTCAGGGTTTTCTAGAGTCACAGAACTTATGGGTAGTCTCTATATAGTAAGGGAATTTGTTGATGACTTACAGTCTGTAGTCCAACTCCCCAACAATGGTCAGCAGCAGCTGTGAGTGGCAGTCTAATGATCTAGCAGTTGCTCGGTCCCACAAGGCAAGCAGGCAAAGAAGAGCAAGTCTTCCTTCTTCCAATGTCCTTATGTAGGTCTCCAGCAGAAGGTGTGGCCCAGATTAAAGGTGTGTACCAACACGCCTGGATCTGGATTAAAGGCATGTATTACCTTGCCTGAGCCTAAGCTTTTCATAGTCACTACGACTCAAGATCAGGATCACAAGTGAGCCTTCCAATTCTGGATTGTAGTTCAATCCAGATACAGTCAAGTTAACAACCAGGAGTAGCACCACAGGTATCATGTTCTTTCCTTGTAATATTGCTCTGGCTATTGTGGTCTGTGCTGCTTCTGTCAACATAGAAGTATGGAAAGTTTTTCCGTGTCCCTCTTCTTTGGTTTCTTTCTTTCTTTTCTTTTTCCTTAAGTGTCTTGAAGCTGTCATTGTAGAGCTCTTTCAATTCCTTGGTTAATGTTATTCCAAAGTATTTTATACTTTTCGAAGGTATTATGAATGGAATATTTTCCTAAATTTTTCCAAGCAAGTTGATTACTGATAGATATGCAAGCTTTTGACTTTTTATATGTCAGTTTTGTATCTTGCAAATTTAATGAAAGTGTCTACTAGATCTAAGAGTACTTTGATAGAGTTTATAAGATCTTTTAGCTATAGATAACATAATCTGTCAATACAGATAATTTGACTTTTTCTTTACTGCTGTATTTATACAATTTGTACCTTCTTCTTGGCTTATTGTTCTCCTTAAGACTTCAAGCACTGTATTGAGTAAGTGCCAATAATAGGCATCCTTGTCTTGTTGTAGACAATGGGTATCCTTGTCCTGTTCCAGATGTTAGAGAAAATGCTCTTAATCCCCTCCCCATACTAAAATATTTCTAATATGTTTGTTGTTTATATCCTTTATCATTTTGAGATATGTTGAATCTGTTTCTAATTTCTCTATGACTTTTATTATAAAGTCCTAGTGACTTTTTAAAAAATAATTTTTACCATTGAAGTTTTATTCATTTTATCATTGAACTTTGTTAAATACCTTTTCTTGTGATCATATTTGGTAAGTTTTTCTCCATCCATGAGCCAATTCAAACCAAATTAAAGTATATAAAGGAAGGTTTATTGGGAAGCAGTTCTCAGATGGGTTCACTGGCTGAAGGAGTGAAGCCAGGGAAGTCTCCATGGGGACAGAAACAGGGGAGGGGGAAGAGAAAGAAAGAAAGAGAATGTTCAGGAAGGGAGAAAGAAAATGCTGACAGAGGGAGAGACGAGATGGAGGAGGGGCAGGGGGAGAGTTAAGTGTCTGGATTATATAGGAAAGCGCTTCTGGAGAAGAACCCTGGGCTGGAAAGTTCAGTGCAGAGGGTGGGTTATATCAACCATACCCTGAAACAGGTAGAGACTGAAGGATGCTGGGAGAACTTTAAGGCCAGGTCTGCTTTGGCATATTAAATAAGCACCTCAGCTACAGGGCCTGGGTCTGAAACCCAGCAATATTATTTCTGTCTTTTAGTTTATTTGTATAGTGTATTATATTCATTGATTTGTGTACTTGGTCAGGTGCATGATACTCTTAATTCATTTTTGAATTATATTACATATTTTGAATACATCTTAATTACGTTGTATTTTAATTGTATTTGATTTGCAATTATTTTGTTAACAATGTTTGCATCTTTGTTCATCAGGAAATTTAGTCTGTAACTGCTATATCTTTACACAGGTTTATTCAAAATAATACTGCTTCCAAAGAATCAATTAGGTACTCCTTCATTTTCTATTTTGAGAAATGATTTAAGGAATGTTAGTATCAGGACTTTCTTAAAAGTTTGGTAGCATTCAGCCATGAGTCCATCTGATTCTGGATTTTTCTTTGGGTGAGATTTTAATTACTGCTTTAATCTTATTACTTGTAATGAAGACCTTTAGTGTATTATATTTACAGGGCTCTTGGTGTGTCATACACATTTAGAAGTATATCAAATATTTTGATGTTTATTGGCATTTTGGAATAAAAATTTCAAAGTATTTCATAATGATATTCTCTCTCCCCCTCCCCCTCCCCCCCTCCCCA